AAGAAGCCGGGGCACTTGATCAAAGAATGTAGAAAATTGCTGTTCAAAAATCAAGGAAATCAGCTTGCCCGTGTCGCTTCCGCTACCAGTTCATCTGATGGATCAGTTGCTATTTCTTCAGATGAGTATGCCAAATTTATTTGCTACCAAGAATCTTTAAAGCATTCATTTGTCCCTATCTCGGTAGCCGCAAATTCAAGTATTTCAAACACATGTCTTGTTTTATCATCCTCGAAATGGGTCATTGATTCAGGTGCCACAGATCATATGACCGGTAATCCTAGTCTATTCTCGTCATTTCATTCATATTTACCTACTTCTAGTGTCACTTTAGCTGATGGATCTACCTCACCCGTTCTTGGACCTGGTACTGTTGTTCCAACTTCTACATTACCATTATCGCCTGTTTTGAGTCTTCCTAATTTTGCATTTAATCTGCTATCCATCAGTAAAATCACTCGTACTCTTAATTGTTTTGTAACATTTTTTCCTGGATATTGTGTGTTTCAGGATCTGTTAACGAAGCAGATTATTGGTAAAGGACATGAGTCAGTTGGTCTTTATATTTTGGATACATCCATCACAAAAGGTATCTCTTGTCTTGGGGTTGGGAGTTTGTTATATGCTCATTACCGATTAGGACATCCATCTCTCCCACTAATGAAGCAAATAAATCCCCAATTTAATAAGATGACCTCTTTACAATGTGAGTCATGTCAATTTGCGAAACACCATCGTACTAGCTTAAGCCCGCGAGTTAATAAACGAGCAAATGCTCCATTTGACCTTGTTCACTCTGATGTTTGGGGTGCTTGCCCGGTTGTGTCTAAAGCTGGTTTTAAATATTTTGTTACCTTTGTTGATGACTATTCTCGTATGACATGGTTGTATTTCATGAAACGTCGATCTGAGTTGTTCACTCATTTTTCTTCCTTTTGTGTTGAAATTAAAACTCAGTTCAACGTTCATGTTCGGGTGTTAAGAGGAGACAATGCCCAAGAATATCTATCTGCTACATTTAAGTCATTTATGCTTCAACATGGCATTATTCATCAAACTTCATGCGTTGACACACCTCCTCAAAATGGAATTGCAGAACGAAAGAACCGACATCTGTTAGAAACTGCAAAGGCTCTTCTATTCCAAATGAATGTGCCTAAACAGTTTTGGGCAGATGCCGTGTCTACTGCATGTTTTTTGATAAATCGAATACCATCTTCTGTTTTGAATGGTAAAGCTCCTTATCATTGTCTATTTCCAAACAAAGAGCTTTTTCCTATCCCACCTAAAATATTTGGTTGCACTTGTTTTGTTAGAGATGTTAATCCTCATCTTACAAAGTTAGATCCCAAATCATTAAAATGTATTTTCTTGGGTTATTCTCGAGTCCAAAAGGGGTATAGATGTTTTTGTCCGAGTACTGGTCAGTATCTTGTTTCTATTGATGCATCATTTCATGAAAATACACCTTTTTCATCATCTAAGGCAGATATTCATGAGTAATGATGATATACTCATTTACACGATGACTATTCCTGAGTCCACACTTTCGACAAATATTCCACAAGTTACTGTTCCTGACACTAGGCCTCCCGTACATTTGGTATACACCCGTCGACACAAAGCACCTGATCACCCTCCACCAACGATACCTGTGATTACTTATCCTGATACTAGTTCGACTCCGATCTCATGTCCTGAACCAGTACCTGCATCTTCAGATCTTGTCTCCACATCAGATCTTGACCTCCCAATAGCACTATGTAAAGGTACACGGTCTTGTACTCATCCTATTTCTTCATTTGTGTCGTACAATCAGTTATCTCCTGCTTCATGTTCTTTTATTGCTTCCATTGATTCTATTTCTGTTCCCAAATCTGTCAAAGAAGCTTTGTCTCATCCTGAATGGCGTCATGCCATGGTAGAGGAAATGAACGCTTTAGATCTTAATGGTACTTGGGATTTGGTTGACTTGCCTACAAGGAAGAAATCTATTGGATGTAAGTGGGTCTTTGCTGTTAAGGTTAACCCAGACGGATCTGTTACTCGGTTGAAAGCCCGATTAGTTGCGAAGGGTTATGCTCAAACCTATGGTGTTGATTATTCTGACACTTTTTCTCCTGTTGCTAAATTAACATCTGTCAGGTTACTTATTTCACTCGCTGCAACTCATGATTGGCACCTACATCAGTTGGACATTAAAAATGCATTTTTGCATGGTGACCTTAAGGAAGAAGTCTATATTGAGCAACCTCCGGGATTTGTTGCTCAGGGTGAGTATGGTAAAGTTTGTTGACTTCGCAAAACTTTTTATGGTCTGAAACAGAGTCCTCGTGCATGGTTTGGAAAATTCAGTCAATCAATTGAACAATTTGGAATGATAAAAGGCAAATCAGATCACTCTGTCTTTTACAAACAAACAGAATCAGGTGTCACATTGCTTGTGGTGTATGTTGATGATATTGTGATTACAGGGAGTGATAATGCAGGTATTTTGGCCCTTAAGAATTTTCTACATAGTCAATTCCAGACGAAAGATCTTGGCTCTTTGAAATACTTTCTGGGAATTGAGGTAACACGAAGTAAGAAAGGCATATTTCTATTTCAACGTAAATATGTACTTGACTTACTAGCTGAGACAGGGAAATTAGGGGCAAAACCAAGTACAACACCCATGGTTCCCAACATGCAACTCACTCAAGAAGGCACACCGTTTGAAGACCCAGAAAGATATAGAAGACTGGTTGGAAAGCTTAATTATCTCGCAGTCACTCGTCCAGATATTGCCTATTCTGTGAGTGTAATGAGTCAAGACATGTCATCTCCAACCATTGATCATTGGGTTGCAGTAGAACACATATTATGTTACTTAAAGGGTGCACCAGGACGAGGTATTGTTATCAAAACCATGATCACATGAGAATAGAATGTTTTGCAGATGCTGATTGGGCCGGTTCTAAAGATGATCGAAGATCTACATCTGGTTATTGTGTCTTTGTTGGTGGTAATCTTGTATCTTGGAAGAGTAAGAAGCAGAATGTGGTTTCTCGTTCGAGTGCCGAATCAGAATATCGAGCTATGGCACAATCTGCACGGCAGATCATATGGATAAGCCATTTATTGACCGAGCTCGGACTGAAGACATCAATGCTTGCTAAATTGTGGTGTGATAACCAAACTGCTATACACATAGCAAACAATCATGTATTTCACGATAGAACAAAGCATATTGAGGTCGATTGTCATTTTATTCGAGAGAAAATACAAAAAGGATTGATCTCTACAGGATATGTGAAGACTGGGGAACAACTTGGAGATTTGTTCACTAAAGCACTAAATGGAATTCGAGTTGGTTATTTATGTAACAAGTTGGGCATCATAAATATCTATGCTCCAACTTGAGTGGGAGTGTGAAAGTATATTAGAATATACTTTAGAATATGTTTTAGAATATATTAGGAATATACCATATATAGTATTATTGTATAGCATCTTTTATAGGAATATTCTATCTTTGTAATCTATATTTATAGGGCCTTACCCTTCAATGAAATACACAGAAAATCTTACCTCCACTTTCAATATTATTCTAGTTTATATTTCAACACACACACACACACACATATATATATATATATTCACATAAATACATACATACACGTATGTAATATATATAAAAGAAAAAAAGAAAAGAAAAAAGAATACATATACGTGTATGTATGTGGAAGTATGGCGTCAAACCCTGAAGAATAAGGGTTTCAAGTTGAGCCGAAGCAAGACTGTGTATATGGAGTGCAAGTTTGGTGGGGTAAGAACAATGTTAATAGTGGGATTACCTTCGATAGTAAGGAGATCTCATTCGGTGATATGTGGTGTTACCCAGGCTGCCTAGTTCAGAAGGACATTGAATAAGATAAAGATGTATCCCATAGAACCAAAACAGAGCGGATGAAATAGAAAAGTGCGTGAAGATTTTTATACGATCAATGTATGCCTACTAGACTGAAGGGTAAATTTTATCGTACAACAATTAAACCTACATTATTGTATGGCATACAATGTTGGGTTGTGAAACAATGTCACATTCAAAAGCTGATTGTGGCTGAGATGTGCACGTTGTGTTGGATGTGTGGACATACTAGAAAAGACCAATTGAGGAATTAGACAATCAGGCAAAAGGTGGGAGTAACCCTATTGAAGATACGATGCGAGAGTCTTGATTGCGGTGATTTGACCATGTGTCTAGAAGACTGAGTGACGCATCTTTTAGATGAATTGAGAGGTGGGGAGGAGAGGGAGAGGACGATCTAAGACAGACGAGGATTAGAGTGGCTAAAAATGATATGGTACTTCTTGGGTTAGATGAGAGAATGACTTTGGAGTTTGGACAGAACAAAGTGGAGAGTGTACGTGTGGAGAATTGATAGTTTTTTGTTAACATCCCTTTTTCACTTTATAATTTTAACTCCGATGTCATATGTAAATTCATGTTAGCCGACCTCAAACTCTTCTTGGACTAAGGTTTGGATGTTGTTGTATACATATATACATATAGTTTGTGCTAGTGTTGCCGGTTGGGTGTCAACTTTTTCAGTGACAGTGACACGATTGAAAGCGGCGATCATGTTGGCAGAAATGTAGGCTGCAACATCAAATCCGGGGCAGCAGCACTGCAGTAGTAGTGTATGAATTTCTGGCTGAAACAGAGTAGACAGTGGTGGGAGCAGTAAGGGCGGATGTTCTGGCTCCACTGATCTTTTGTTTTCTAAGCGACCAAAGTTCCTCTTTTCTCGCCTCAACTGTGTTCTGAAATATATCGTGCAGGGTCCTCGTTTTAAGGGGGCCATTTAGGTATGTGTGTTCTGTACGCGTTGAGTGTCCGAATTCCGAAACACATGTCACATCTTTAGGAGTGCCCATGCTTCATATCTTGACCATAAAAAGGATCCAATGACACAATTCAATATTGTATGAAGTGGACAGATCAATCTAATTACCACCTGTTTGCATATTTTATTGCCCCTCATGCGATCAAAACTAGGAGTTCCAAAAGCGACTGTGTAGAAAAAATCTCTCCAAAGCAGCTGCACAAGTTAAGAACTTTGTCATCCTGCTTACAAAAGCTACAAACCTACAACTACTTATAGCAGCAAAGAACTAACCTGTCCAAGAAGGGAAACAGGTGGAGATGTGTGCCTTTTAACAGTTCTTAGAACTTCCTGAATGGATTGATAGAAATATCTACAAGAGAGACAGCCAAACTTTCCGAAAAATTGAAATGGCAAACGGATTAGAATGATCTAACAATGAAGTACTAATGTCTTGCAGATCTTATATGACTCACTTTTAAGTAGGGAGATAAAACAGTTGTGGCAGGCCTTAAAAACGCAGATGGGTTGCCCTTGGGTTTCTCAAAATCAGCCACCCATTCCTGCAAAAATGAAAACATAATTCCAAAAAAAAATAGTTTTGGCTGAGTGTATCTGGATTTGGGTCTTATTTTAGTGTTTCTGAATTATGGCCTAATTTTAGATTCATATTGTCATATAGAGGTATATGTAATAAGTATCACGGAGTACATATTACATCCGTTCCCCTAACATTGATACAAGAGAGGTGGTGCAGTTATCAAGAAAAGTGAGTTTTTGTGATTAATATTGAATTGATAAAGTGATAATAAAGTAAGAAACCACAAAAACATTACCAAATTTGGTAAATGACAATTTTAGTGGGACGGACCAAAAAGGAAAGATGGTACAATTTTAGCGGAACGGGGAGGGGGGATATTATTTAATAGTCTAGGATCTCACGATCCATGTTACAATCCTCGAATTAAAATTTTCAACCCCCTCCTGATCCTACCTACGACCTCGAAATAAACAACCTTGAAGATACCACTCTTGATCGGACTAGAACTCTAGTTCCTCTTTATAAACTGCACCTAGAGGCCTTTCAACTAACAAGATTGAATAAAATATTATTTATGGCCAATTGGCCATTGGTTAAAAACTAGACCAAGACACCAACCACTATTGCTGTCGGCTCATTAATAAGGTGAGAGATTCAAGCCCAAAATATGGTGGTGACTGGTTCCAGAGTCAAATCTAAGAAAAGCTTGGGGGATCCTCTTGCTTAGATCCTTGTATGACGTTGTGATATTTCATATCTTTGCTTTGTACACTTCAAAATCAACAAATCCTATTTTCTGAGTAAGAGAAAGTAAGGAACGGGGGCTAGATTGGGGTTGGGATACAAAGCCTTGTTTGATGTGCTACGATGTTTTTACTTGGGCTGTAATTTGCTGGTATGGTCTGATCTGGTCTGATCTGGTCTAGTTTCTTTGTATTTTTATTATCCAAGTCTGGTCTGGGACAAATTACAGTCCAAGTAAAAAACATCCCTAGTAGAACTTTGAGACTTTTCAAAGACCAATCAGATTTGCATGTTGGTTTCACAATACCAATCATGTAATATACAGTGTTCTAAAACACTCATAAAGGCGGCGCCTAGGCTCGCCAAGGCGCAAGGCGTGAACAATACGCCCCGCCTATGCATATGCATGACCAAAGGCGTGAGTGCTACACAATTTAAACTTTTAACTATCATTTATTAGCATACCAAGGGTACGAAGACCCGCTAGACCGCAAGTTTCATTCACAAGGAAGAGAAGAGGATGTCCACAATATATAGAGTGTTGGAACGAGGAGTGCTTCATCTCTTTCCGGTGTGGGATGAAGTTAAAACCCAGTTGGCCGGACAAATAATACTCCGTACCAAGGTTAAAAGCAGTTGTCAACTAGGCTCCAACAAATTCAACATCGTAAATCCTTATTAAGGAGTATATCATTAAATTATTATATTATTATTATAATAGGGTCATTATTATATACGTAGTAATGATAATGATGATTACAAACAATTTCATTATTTTTTTGAACGGACAATTTCATTATTATTTGTATTGTCATTGAACTTTTTTTTTATGAACTCTTACTTTTTATATACCAAATTCATATAATAGGTGTCCATTTTAGTAATTCAGAAGTTTATTTTTGTTGGAAAATGTATTACTATTATGTTTTGCATGATATTTTATAATATTGCATTTATATATTTAAAAAAATATCTATAAAATTTAGAAAAATTAGTAAAAAACTAAAACGCCTTCCTACGCCTAATTCCCGCCTAAACTCGCCTAGGCTTCAAAGGCCTAAGGCTCGGGCGTGCCGCCTCGTCACGCCTCACGCCTTTTAGAACACTGGTAATATATAATAACAAATACTTTAACTCATCGCTATTTCATTATATATTCCATACAAGTGGAAATGGGCTTAAGATGATGATGGTGTTAGAACTTTCATCACATCATATTTCTTCTAATGAAGGTTGCCACAGGAAGGTCGTCCCATGTAAATAGTGCCATTATGCTATTCTTGCACGAATTTGTAGTGCAAGTAATTTTTATACAATTAATCGGCACTACAAATCTAATGCTACCGACACCAGATATTTGAGATTAAAATGACCTTGATGATTAACTGGACAAGGAAATAAATCTTTTATTTATTTCAAAAATGAATGACATGTGACAAAGGAAGACAAAGTTGAAAAACTTCAGTTTAAATGCAGGCCTTAAGACTTACCAAGAGAGTACACCATGGTATTGAAGAATAACTGTTTGGGATAAACAACATTAACCCACACGTAATTACAGATGAAGAGTTCAAAGACAAACAAAACACACAGCGTAGTACCTACCTACAGGCTGATGCTGATGCCATAAATTGACATTAATCAATGAAGGGAAAAGGGACATTCTAATGGAAGATGATAATTTGTACCATAAACTCCCAAGATATACCTTGTTAGCAATTGACTCTCTCAACCTCCTTAATGCTTCTGATTCACCGCCTCTAAATGGTGTCCTCTCATCCTGCAGCTCCAGAAGCACTGATTAGTGATTCCCACACACACAGCAAAAAAAAGTGAACAGAAACCAGCAATGGTGGCCTTACCTCGCTGCTGTCAATATAGCCAAGTTCTTCGAGCGTTGGTACAGCTGAAACTTCAAGGTTCCCCAACTTTCCAATCGGAGGAAGCGAGGACACTGATAATGTTGACAGAGGGGTTGATTCCCATGAAGGTGTTCCCGACAGTTTAAGAAACGATTGGTAACTAAGAGGTGGCCTTCCCCCATTCTATCCAGAACATTCATAGACATGGATATTGATATCAATTAATTAAAGCTCAGCAATCCACGTTTAGTCCTTAATTAATTTACCTTGCGCAAAATGTCTGCAGGGTTAAATAGTGTATGACTCACAGGAGTGAAAATCTCTATTCCAGCTGCATGGACGCTGTTCTGCATAGAAAGATGCAACTGTATGCCACCAAATATGCTCTCCATCGTGAAAATAATCAGTCAGAATCTAATACCTGTACTTTATCATCTAATGCTCGGTAATAAGGTTCTATGTCATACTCATAGCATAGCTTGTTTATTTTCCACTGCAAATCAGTAGAATGAGAAGTGATCTTAAAAAACTTCTATTAATTAAATTAATTAATTGAAAAAGAATAAAGAGTAAAGTAGATTGACTTGCGGTCTTGTTGCACTATAAACACTGTTCTGAAAAGCAGTCACTAGATGCCCTATACATCCGTCTAGGAAGGCATAAAATAACGTCCAATTGATAGCCAAAAGTGTGACAAGGCATAGCAATCTTAGACGTGTAATGCATTTCTAGACATGAAAAGACAAGTGAAAGATAGAGTTGTTTAGATAGATCAATTTAAAAAAAAAAACAGATGGGCTAACCCTGAAAAAATCACTAGTGTAATTATGCTGACTATATAATTAACTCCTAAAATAAACACAATATTTTGTATCCTCATGTAGGATACATTTGGGTTTGAAATGGGTTGTAAAAAATAAATATACAATTGTCATTTTACAATTTTTAAATTCTAAAAGTAAGAAAAAATATTAGAGTACAGGATATATAAAAGGTGAAACAATTGCTTAAAGAATTGAGTCGAAAATTAAAATGTTAGTAGTATTCACTTTTGGAAAGTTCACATTTTTTGTTAACCTAAAAGTAAAGTACAGTGTTATGATAGAGACCTGGACTTATGGGCTTATGACATGATAGAGACTTTACTAAATAAGTTTTTTAGTAAGTCTATTCTAGAAGGAGGAGGGTTGGTTATTAGTTAGTTTGTTATAATACTAATAACTACCGGTAGCTAGAACACCCTACTATAAATAGTAGTATTTGAGATTGTAATAGGATGCTGAATTGGAATTGTAAACTGTACGCAGTCTGTTGCCTTAGGCCTTCGGCCATTGTTCCCTTTGAGAATAAAAGTTGCCTTTGAGATATTTCTTGAACCAATTCTGTGATCTGTAAGACTAGAGTTGGAGTTTTCTAACATTGGTATCAGAGCCAGTTGATCTCGTTAATGGTTTGGACGCGAGGAAAAATGGAAGCGAGAATAGAAGAACTGGAGAAAGACCGTCAAGAAACGAAGGAGTTGTTGGCTACGATTCTAGGGAGGCTGGACGCGAGAGACAAAAGTCGATCGCGGAGTAGATCGCACGCATCAACTTCATCGCACCATACATCGCATCGATCATCGCATCGATCATCGCAGCATCACTCCCTGCGATCGTCTGACAGTTCCGAAGGATCGGAAGGTCATTTGGAGTTCGCTCAACCACATCGACGTCACCATCACCAGCCGATGCACAGGAAAGTTGACCTACCTTTGTTCAACGGTGAAGACGCTTTTGGTTGGCTTGTCAGAATCGATAGGTATTTCCGACTCAACAATACACAAGAGGAGGAGAAGATAGAAGTGGCAGTAGTAGCTATGGAAGGCAAAGCTCTAGGATGGATTCAATGGTGGGAGAAACAAGCAAGAGTAAGGACTTGGGAGCAGTTGAAGAAGGCACTGCTTCGTCGTTTTCAGCCAGAGTTAATTCAGAATCCATTGGGTCCTCTACTGAAGTTGAAACACAAGAACTCTGTACAAGAGTACCGAGTACAGTTTGAAACAGCTATATCTTGTCAAGAAGGACTGGATAGGAAGGTAATGAGGGCTATTTTCTTAAATGGATTAAAGAAAGATATCAGGGCTGAACTTAAGCTGTATAAAACCAAAGATCTGGGCAAAATTATGGATATTGCACAGCTGATTGAAGACAAGAATGAAGAAATCCTGTTAAGAAGGAATAAAGAAGAAGGAAAAAGACCATGGAAGAACACTGCACCTAAAGGAAACAGTTATCAGAAATGGGAAGAAGGGATGAGAAGTAGCAATAATCCAATGTTTACACATTCTGATGGAAAGGATAGTAATGACAATAAGAATGTGAAGACTGGTGGAGGTTCAAGTTCAGGAAAAATAGGCCCCAGATTATCCCAACAAGAATTGATGGAAAGGAGTAAGAAAGGATTATGTTTCAAATGTGGGGAGAACTGGAATAGGGGGCATGAATGCAGGATGAGGAATTTCAAAATGGTTCTGGTTGAACACTCTGAGGAAGAGGCCGACACTGAAGTGGATTGCAGCAGTTCTGAAGAAGAAGAGGGACCTCATCCTGAACTAAAATCAATGCAATTGTCTGGAATTAGCAAGGAAGGTATAGATTCTGGAAGAACTTTTAAGATGGTGGGGAATTTGAAGTGGGCTGCAGAAGATAAGAGGGTCAATATCCTCATTGACAGTGGGGCTACCCACAACTTTATATCTCAGAGATTAGTGGACAAGTGGGGTATTCCTTTCAATCCAATCAAAGGATATAGGGTACAAATAGGTAATGGGGAATTCATATACAACCAAGGCAGATGTATGGGATTAAAGCTGATGGTGCAGGGTAATGAAATCAATCAAACTTTCTACACCTTAGAGCTGGGAGAGAATGATGTGATTTTGGGATTGGAGTGGTTAATGCCATTGGGAGACATGGCAATCAATTTCCAAAAACAGATCCTCATATGGAAGCAGGAGAGTCAGAATTGTTCAATTAGAGGGGCTAAAACCCTAAATGAAAAAGATGATTCTATCACAATCAGTACACAGATTCTGCAACCAACTGTGGAAGGGTATTTACTGTGTTATAAAGATAAACAGGGACAGAACATGGAACAAGAGACTATTGATCTTAATATCCAGACCAAGGAAGGAGCTGACTTTGTATCTTCATGCACAAGCGGTGGCTCAGTTCCTATGTTGCCTCATAATAGCAGGGATGTTCGGGAAACGTCTGTGAATTGGCAAGACCGAGTAATGAAGTGTCTCTTTCAGAAATTTGTGAAATATTGGGAAGGCAGGAGCGCTAGGATGAAGAAGAAAAAGGAGATTTTGGTTGCTACCTATCGCCCACCTTGAGGGCAAGGTGGATGTTTAGGAGGGGAGATTTGATAGAGACTTTACTAAATAAGTTTTTTAGTAAGGTCTATTCTAGAAGGAGGAGGGTTGGTTATTAGTTAGTTTGTTATAATACTAATAACTACCGGTAGCTAGAACACCCTACTATAAATAGTAGTATTTGAGATTGTAATAGGATGCTGAATTGGAATTGTAAGCTGTACGCAGTCTGTTGCCTTAGGCCTTCGGCCATTGTTCCCTTTGAGAATAAAAGTTGCCTTTGAGATATTTCTTGAACCAATTCTGTGATCTGTAAGACTAGAGTTGGAGTTTTCTAACATGACATGAGATATAATAGAAATAATATTGAATATTTTAATACAATGTAATAGTGGGACCCTGGCGATAATGGCGTCAGAGTCACCTATAACTCCCACCAATAGCAGATTGATCTCCAGAGAAGAATTATCAGTTTCTCTAGCGGAACTTAGCCCAAGATGGCAGCCCTCGGAACATGATAAGCACTGTTACGAATTAACTGAACTCTCTCTTCTATATTTTCCCTGGGGCATGAAGAATTAATACCTTCTGAGGGAGGTTGCGGCTGAATAAGACTCCAGATGGAATGATTGAGGTTCCGCATAGTGAGAAGCGGTTGGTGTCAGAACCTGCGTACTGGTAGAATTGGCCGCTGAAACCTGCGAACAGGAATATTCTGCTTGCAACGGAGCTGGCGTACGAGGAGAAGAGGTTTGCGACCAAACCTGCGAACTAAGATAAGCAGTTCCTGACTGCGAACCAGGAGAAGCAGTTCACCACTCAGTCTGCAATGGGGTTGAACCTTTGCTATTCTGGCAGCGTTGCACGGTCCGTGATCGTCCTCGCTGGCGACGTTGTTGACGCAGTTTGGTGCGCATCTTGTCCAACCAGATCCTCATCTCCTTCGCCTAATCACTTTTAACATTTTCCTTGAGCTTCTCCACTTTTCCGCGCTCAACCTTTTCCATGCTGCCTGCACGGTTCCTTTCCGCCATGCGTAGACAGGTGCTTCTCCATGTTCGCGCCCAAACCAGAGGCGACCACCTTCTTCTCTGACCATCGATGTTCGCTGTGCTCCATTTTTTTATCGCGTGAATTTCGATCGACACTTCCCTGAGTCGACTGCTCTGACCAATTTCATATCAATCAAAATCGGTGCTGATGATGAAGTTGACTTTGTACTCTTAATTGGAGATGCATTGTGGTGGCAAGCTTATATCCAGGGCAATGAACACGCTGCTCTACCCAGTGGATATGCATATTATTATGGTCAGGATACTGTCCAAGATTATGAACGTGCAGCAAAAGCTTATAAGCATACCAGATCACAAACCAGTGCTCAAACCTTGTTTAATCTGGGATACATGCATGAGAAAGGACAAGGATTGCCGTTTGTTCTTCACCTCATACAGGATTACTACGATAACAGCGTAGCTAATGATCCTGCAACAAAGTTGCCTGCAACACTGGTTTTTGCAAGCTTATGGATGGGAACCAACCTTGCTGGCAGTTTCCTGGTTGCTGCAATGGACTCATTGCCGGATCTTTATAAAAAAAATGAAAACATAGGTGGGGATGTGTTAATGGAAGAAGGAAGTGCCACAATTCTTCATCTCATGGTTTGCCTGGTACTTTATATACGTGAGATTCAACGAAGGCAGGCTGTTGCCTTTGTTGGAGTGGCTGCTCCTTATCAGCAGGTTTCTGAAAGAGTCAAGCTCATTTCTGAGTCTTAGAGACAAATCTTTCCTTGGAAAACGATATACATTGGAGAGGCTAGTTGAGATCTTGAGGTGTTATTATGAAAGGGACTTCAGATCAGATGATTTGGAGCCGGTTCTAGGTTTTGATAAAACGGAGGTCAAGTTTCTTTAGAAGAGGTTGGAAGAAAAGCAAAGGTTACTTCCAGAGATGTCGTTGTTGGAATATTACAACCTTTACAACATTAAGGAGCATTATGACACCATGTCCTTGCTTATGTTTTTTCCTGCTGTGAAGTACATGTGGAAGAAGATTCAAGTACCAAAGCTAAAGGCCCAGAAAACAGTAAGGTACTGGGAAGGAAGAGGCAAGAGGATGAAGCTGGATGGCATATT